TTTTTTTTTTTTAATTTAAGCTATAAAATAAGTATTTTGTTTCCCGTTAGACACTTGACTTAAGCTCTTAACGGCTTATGCAATTTGTCGTCTAAAAAAGTTAGTTGTTGCGTATGCAATTCTTCTTTTTTCTATTCAAACTGTAGAAACTGTCTGTGTTTTGAAGGGTTACAACGATTAAAATAGCTGTGTTATAAAACATAAAGTATAATGTAAAAAAGAAGAAAAAAAAACCTTTCTAAAAAAAAAATAAGCTATATCAAACCATTTTTGGTACTTGGACTTTCAGACTTCAGCCTCTTATCAGTTTCCTGTCATAATTTTTAGGTGTTACAGTGATGGTGCAGCTTAAAGTTGGTACATTGATTGGGTTTAGTGGTCTTAGAAACTGAGCTGTAAAATAGCAAAACAATTACATAATAGCTTTGGGAAAACAAACCATCTTCAAGTTCTGATTTTTGATATTTTATTTATTTATTTATTTTTTGTTTTACGTAATATTCGTTGATCTTTTTTTTCTCGCAAACTAATCGTTTATATGCCAAAATAACTCTACTAACATTTTTTTTTTTGAATATTGTACGACAATTTACAGAGACTACCCGGTAAAATATTGAAGAACAGTTTAGGTGGTGATTGAAATTTTCTAAATCTGATTTCTAGTTTTAATTGACTCAAGTAAACCCAAAAATGCTTACTACATTTTACCGTCATAGTTTGATAGCACTGAGAGAAAAGTTGTCTGCGATGATTACACAAAAATTTTTCAGTGAATTTGTTACTGCATAACAAAAAGTAAGCACAAAAGTTGTTTTTGATACGTGGCTGAACTTTGTTAGTCTAAAAAATACCCTAAAAAAAAACATTTAAGATTTTTATGACATTTTTCTTCTTTTTTTGTATGCCGAATGTAACCTTCCTAAAACAGTTATAACTGCAACAGCTGAAGAACACAGTAATCAAAAAAATCTGCATTTTTTTTTCAGTTTCTAAATAACAACTTTTATATTACTGGCAGAAAAAAAAAACTCATCTTTTTACCATATTGGATCTGTTTTTGCACCAGTGTTATTCTAAACTCATTTATGTTGTAGCTGAAATAACAAGCTATTGTTATAAAGTTTTAAACTCACTACTCTGTCATCAATAAGTTTTTAATTAAATTATCAGCTAAATCTATAAATAGCAGTCAATTTTTTTTGATTTCTAAGTTCAAAGTATTATTAATTTGTTATGATTAGGTATCATCTTTGTTAAAGCGACTAACGTCACAAAAAAAAAATCAATGCATAGTTTTCTGAATAATACAAACCAATCATTAATATGCGTTTTTTCAATGTTAGATAAGTCTAATTTAAGTTCTTATCAAACCCACTGACGATTGTTTAAAAATCTGAAGCCAGAAGTTGTTCAGCTTCAATCAAAAATGTATCAGATTGTCAAACAGTCTGTCTTTTACTTTTTAATTTTCAATTAGTTTTTTTTTTTTTTTAGAAGAAAACTATGTCTAAAAAGAGTTTAAAAAAAAAAGAAGAAACAAAGGTGCAACAGATTAGCAGCTTTTATCTGTTACCTAAAATATATCGCTTTTTTTTCCAAACTGAATTATGTATTGAACTGTAGACGACCAAGTGCTTGCTGAAGTAACTTAGCTTTGATACTTGGTGTTTGATCAAAAACGTAAGAGCAGCTTAGTACATTACAACCTATTGCATCTTGATCGTTAGTAAGCATCATAAATCATAAAGTAGTTGGCTTTAGAAGAAATACTTAGACTGTAGACCAGGCATTATGGTATTATGTGAAGTGAACACATCCACATCAAACAGTTCAAAATAACAAATAAATTTTACTTCAATTTTATATGCCAATAAAGGGCTTTTTTTTTGTCGTAAAAAGCAGAAAATGATGCATCAATATAAACAGCAAATTATTTGCATCCATTTGCAGAATTAACAAAAAAAAAAAAAAA